CGGTGCCTTCGTAATTTAGCTCACATCTGGTGGGAACACCGCGTGAGCAACGAGCGTGTTCGACGCCTTGTTTATGGCACAGGAAAAGGAACTGAACCGCTCAGCACCGCTATTTCACGCATCAGGCTCCGATGGCTCGGCCACGTGTTACGCATGCCAGCCCACCGACTTCCGCGACGTGTGTTGTTTGCGCGCCGGGGGTGTGGATGGAAGAAGAGGAGGGATGGCCAAGCGATGACTTGGTCCAGAGGAATGAAGGCTCTCACTTCTGAGCTGGCCTCGGTTGGAGCGTCTCGACTCCCTGGTTGGGGTCCGAAAGACGATGAACACGTTTGGTTGGACACACTTGCTGATATGGCTAGGAGCCGACCTCAGTGGCGTTCGTGCTGTGAGTTTCTTTGTCCCATCCCATCCCTCTTAGCCTCCCCCTCCAACCACGATCTCATTATTTAACCTTATATAATTTCGCATAATAATTTTTTTGGTGCACAGCAGCCGGCTGTTGGCTTGCCGGAACGATGCTCATCCGTTACCGGTGGCTCAGCCAGCTTGCACCAGTTTCTTTTTTTTTACTTTTTTTCTATGTATTGCGGCACAGTAGCTGAGATGTTCCCCACCTCTAGTTAACGTGTTTCATGTGGATGATGATGATGATGAGTCGGCATCTAACAGACGGTAATTGAATGAAGGATTATATCGCAAGTGTGCTTGGTTGTTCCTCTACTGTGTTTTTGCCTAAGATTGATTTTGATCTCAAGACTCGAGTTTTTAAGGTAACGGTTCTCTACACCACCAATGCTGTAGTTAATGCCCAATCTTTCTACTCATTTGCGGTATTTACTCCAAACCACTTCGGCTAATCGCTACTTGACTAAGTCTCGAAAGAACACAAACATTTAGGAGACATTCCGGTATTTGCCGTTCTTCAGTGCTACAAGTAATCTGAACGGGTATGCCTTTTGAACGCCGACTAGTAATTAGAGAACACTCATGTACGTAAACTGCCTTATCGAAGTGAGAAGGCAATCTACCTTACTTATTCGCTAAGGCCCCTTTTCTAGCATGTTCGGACACTTTCGAGTGAGAGTACTAATGAATCTTTGAAAATGTGTTATCTGCTTATGGATGACGTGGCTACTGATTCATTCCCTCATGGCTAGTTAAGAGCAATTTGTGCAAATCATTCGGCCACGGTTCCGTATACTTCATCTAGTCGAATGAACGAGCACCATTGGCAACTAAACTAAAAACAAGACGGCTGGCCCGTGACCGAAAATCACATTTTAATAGCGAACATAAATTCGGTTGTATCTGTGTTGTGAGGAATATAAGACTGATACCGCAAAAATACGCATCCGCGACACATACTCCAATACTCACATGGACAAACAATGGGCTACGCCGTATGTCGTTTACACTGGGATCATGCAACTTCCCAGCCAAGACGCAGCAAGTTTTCGTGAGCAACTCATCTCGCCAAAGATCATGACGAGCATAGGGAGTCGTTAGTGTTTCAAACAAGTGGGGTCCCGACCTATATCACCTTTTACTCGGTCAGTGAACATGATCGTGTGACAGGCCTTTCCTTCTTTCTGTCTGTCTCTCTGGTCCGTGTTGCGGCCGTGGGCTCACGATCGTTTTTCGTGGATCCTTCAGAGGTTCCATGCTGAAAGCCCACAATTGAAACACCCAAATGTAAACAGGCCACGCTCAAATTGCGCGCAGCATAAGCCCCCGGCCGTGATTACCCACACGAAGAATGCTGATGCCGAAGAACTCCCATACGGAATGGCTAGACAGAAACTTGTCCACCTAAAGTCTCCGCATTACATTATTTTGGCCAATTCATCACAGTTGGCGATATCCGTTTTTGTAACACTCAATATGCCACTTTTTGATTTTACATCCAATAGCGGTGGACGCGCTTTTTGTAGCTGCAGGTTGTTAAAATAACATCCAAGCTGCTGGCTACTTCGATCGCACAGCACATACTAGACGGCGTTACTTGACTACTCGCCTACTACAATTTGCCGATGATTCAGCGAATCTGGGGTGGGAACACACTTTTCATACGCCGTCAGAGTTCGTGCCTAGCCTTACCTTAGTTTGGTGAGCATTATGGCGGGCATCATGTGACCTTGGAGCGTCAGCGTTTGGCCAATGACGCTGCAAAATTTTTTGTTTATGTGTGTAATTATGTCTTTTTCTGTGTGTGCATTTGTGCTCATGGCTCTTCTGATGTGCACAAGTTTCGTGTGTACTTTCCTCCGGTTACCCCGTCACACAGTTGGCAGTGTTTCCGCTCATCGTTCATACGGTGGTTAGGCTTCGTAAGGGTATAATCGTTCCTACTTGTGAAATCGTCCAGTCTGCCCCTGGGAACGATACTAAGTGAACGTCAGTAGATGCACCCAGCGAGGGTGGTCCATAACACTGCGATCCGCAAGTGCATGACCCATTTTAGTAGCCAAATCTTAAGAGTGCGCGAAAGTGAGGGTTTCGGTGTTG